CCTTGTTTCATGGTGGATGGAAATGACATCTTTTCTGTTGCTTCTCTTAACATAAACATAAAAGGTTTTTTAAGTATGCTCCAAAAGTGTTTATAAAAATTGGCAGTAAGGCCGTCACATCCTGGCGATTTGTCTAAAGATAAACTGCCTACTGCTTTATCTAATTCGTCAAAGGTTATGTCTGCGTCACACAGTGTTACAAACTCTTCATCTATAAGGGGAATGAAGTCTTTAATATATTCAAAAAAGGATGTTCTATCATCCATAGAAGGGGTTAATGAATATAGATTACTATAGAAAGAAACAACTTCCTTAGTGATTGAAGCTTGATCAGTGACTACCTGGCCCTGAACTAATAATGATTTAACTGAAAGCCTCTCTTGCCTTCTTTTTTCTAACCGACAGAAATATGATGTACTCCTTTCCCCCTCCTCAATCCATTTAGCCCTAGACCTGATGTAAGCCCCTTCTGCTTTATTAAGATAAATTATATCAAGCTTGTTTAAAAGATCTTGTAGCTTCTGTTTTTCATTATCTGTAGGTGATTTTTTGTTATAATAGACATTTATTTCTTTAATCATATTAATTTCAGATAATCTCTTATTTTTATTCAATGTTTTCCCAAAACAAATTGAATATTCCCTAATTTTAAATTTAAGAAATTCCCATTTAGAGATGTATGATACTATTGAGTTATCAGACATCACCTCAGAGACCAAGGCCCTAATACCCTCATTAAATGACTGGCATTTTAATAAACAAGAATTGAATTTCCAATACCCTTTATTTTGTCGACTAACACCAGGAGGTTTAAAAATCAATTTAATAACTGAATGGTCAGTAAGAGGGGCTGCTGACATACAGCAGTCACTAACAAGATTCATGGTAGAAACTGAAATTAACCAAAAATCAATTCTTGACTTTACTACACTATTTGGTTTAAACCAGGAGTATTGTTCCATATAGGGATATTTAAATCGCCAAGGATCCAATAAATTGTGAGTACGACAAAAATCCGTTAAAACAGGGTTGCAAGAAGAACTTTGACCACATCTGGAGGGATATCTATCAAGACACTCATCACTAACCATATTAAAGTCACCACCCATAATTATATTAGCAGTTGGATAAACAAGTTTAAGATTCACAATGACATTAGAAACATCTGAGATCAACTGTCTATTCTGAACTGCATTATTAAAACCATAAACGTTGACCAAAATGAAATAATGGTCGTCCAAATGCAAAACACAGATTAACCAGTGACCGTTATTACTGAATTTAGATGTTACTAATTTTCCAGGTGAATTACAAAACAAAACAGCTACACCTGCTGATCTAGAAGACCCATGATCAAAAAGAATTTTGTCTCCCCACTGATTGACCCAAAATCTTTCATCCTCTGGCTTGGAATGAGTTTCCTGCAACAAAATAAAGTGTGCTTTTTCGCCCTTACAAAACAGAAATACTGACTTTCTCTTGGTATTCTCTCTTAAGCCCCTAGTATTAAGTGAAATACATAGAATGACTAAATGTCTCGTCTGCGTTGCTGGCCAACGGAGTCGAACGTCCGCATATGGCGGCCATCTTACCACAGGCTGCTCGCTCACCCAAAATATGGTGTTGATAGTAAAACATGTAATTTTTAAATAGCCATAATGTGCTCAATTTTTAACCGATTTTCAAACGGTTTGATTTTATAAACGTCAAATATGTAGTTATGACACTGAATACTTTTGAATAATTATCTTGTGTTCTAAAAAATAGAATAATGTTCTAGAATAGGTAGACTAAGCCTACAAGATTTCCCTTAACAAATATACATCAAGAAACGCTGCATGTTAAAATCCCCACCCTGTACAGTGATGACTATAACACAGCACAAAGAACTAAAGTCCATATTTCCAAATTGTTAATAAAAATATTTTTA